AGGGGAAGGATGTCATCAGGCAGGGCGAAGACGATGAACCGGTGCGACCTTGACCGAAGAGAGTCGCACCCCTGTGAACCGTTCATTTGTTCTAGTTACGTCTGCGTGGAATGAAGACATAAGAGACACGTTGGAAGCCTTTGGCGGTTTGTCATTGTGCCACATGCGCATCCCCGGCACGTGTGCCACGTTTCAAAATAATATTCGGGGTGCGTGAAGTGTCGCTGAGCTTATCTCCTTGGAAACTGCTTCGCGTAGATTTGTTATGTTTGTGGTGAGGGGACTACACAGGTTGTCGACCCGAAATGCATTCTTTACGTACCGTAGAGCAGTGATAGCGTTCGATCAAACCCTGCCGGTATTGGACGCCCCTGCTCGGAGGTGGATTTTACTGTATCCATGTTGATGATGTGTGAAGTGTCTCTTGTTTCACTGTGTCGCGTTTCTTCCTTGTCGCAGATCAACTACTTCGTGGATCTACTGCCTCGAATACGACGAAAGCACGGCAGCTCGATCAAGATATACGAGTTCGTGCAGTACCCCGGCGATACGGTTTTTGTTCCGGGCGGCTGGTGGCACGCAGTTCTGAACCTCGAGGACAGTGTGGCCATCACTCAGAACTTCTGCAGTCGCAACAACTTCGAAAAGGTGACGTGCGCCGACGTGTGATGGCGGCTGGCTTTCCGCTTTTCTCGCGAATCAGACTGATGTTGGCGTATTTTTGTCAGCAGCCAGGAACGGTCGCGAATATTGGCGTGTTTTCTATTTTGTCGCTCTCAGCATACCGCCGAGCCGGTCGCAGTTGCACATCACCCGGTGCTCGCCGTACTGATCGGCAATGATCAACCTTGATTGTTTTTATTGCCGTTTTCAAACCTAAGTAGCTGAATCACGCGCTTATACGAGCAGGTCTGGCGGAAAAGCCGGACTGGCCGAAAGAAGATGTCCGTCAAATGGCTGAAAGAGCTTGACAAGGAGCACCCGAGCCTCGCCGACACGGCGCGCCGCCTCAACAGCGAGGACGGTTTCGTGATGATGCACAAGGAGGCGAGCAGCAGGCGTCGATCTGGTCATCATGGCGATGATGAAGGCGCCGGGGGGAAAAGCAAGCGGAAAAACAAGCACGGCAAACGAAAAGGTGTCGGGAGTGACGACAGCGGCAGCGTCGGCAGCGGCGAGGACGGAGGGGATTCAGGGAGCGGGGGCTCTTCCTCGAAACGAGGCCGAAAGCATATGAGTGATGCCAGCCGGGAAGGTTCTCTGACGCCACCCACGCACAACGATAGCGTACGGTGAGCATTCGCTTGGCGCAAAGGGTCGTGCGGGTCGGGGTTCGTGACAGGCGATGTTTTCAGGAACACAACGGGATCAGCGGCACTTGCGGCAGTGGTTCCACCTGTGCGATAGTTACACCTTTTAGACGCTGCGTTGTATGGATCATTGATGGGTTTGTAGCACGCTTGTTGGGTGTGTGGACGACCTCGGTTTTCGGACATGTTTTTCCGCTACGGGGAAATAGCCGCTGTTTGATTTAGATTCATGGCACAGAGTGCTTAGCGACAAATACCAGCAGAGTCGGCTCGACTACTTAGGCTTGATCCGTAGGCGACGTGGTAGAATGATCCCAAGATCGTGATACCTTCACCCTGCTTCAGCAGGCAGGCAGGGGGTCTCCGTCGATATGTGGGCAAGACGGACCAATAATTAGAGAGCAGGGCGGTGCCACAAGCAACCCGCCCACTCATTTCAGCGAGTGGCATAATGTATGGTATTTTTTGTATCCATCAGTGTTCCCGAGTTCCCAAGGGTGCTCGGAACGCTTCTTGGGATCGGTTTTTCCTGCACCTTGAATGTGTCCGAATGGATCCTTGCATTCCAATATATCTGCCACCACAGATTTCCTTACGCAAATCGTGTGGTTTTTTTCGTTTGCCATAGACTTTACTGCCGTTGATGATAAGTGTTGCAAATGTACCCTATACCGTGTCCTTCTTCCGCCAAGAGCTCCGGTCCAGGGTCACGCAGAGAAAATGCTCTGCGGCGCATGCTTTCTCCCAGGGATAAAAAAACTACGGCACGTCGTATCACCAAAGCACGAAGTGAGTCGTGGCAACACTATTCTGGGCGGAGAAGGCCATTATGCGCAAGGTGCTTTGAGAACACCTTTAACAATGATGCTACACGTGTTCGTTGGGCAAATGGGCACATCTACTTGTATGGTTGTACGGTAGTTGTTTTGTCGACTACAGAAGTGATACGGGACAAGACGAAAATGTCCGTACAGGTTGTTCATGACGTTTGCCTTAGCCCCTGTGTTTGTCGCCGATTATCTCCACTTGCTCGCTAATGCCTCTACACAAGTCTCCAAGATTCCCGTCCGCTTCTCTCTCGTCGTCTCTTTCTCCCTTGCTTGAACCCGCTCTCGACCAACTGACGGCTTTGACGTGATGCAAGCCGAAGGTCTTCCACATAGGAGACGACTGGTAAAGGTAGATCCTGCTCACCGTGCAAGCACATAATTCACGCCACGAAGGGACGAGAGGGGCAGCAAAACCAAGGTTGAAGTCAGCGGTGAAACGCGCTGAAGACTCTGTACAACATCAAACGCCTTACTTGAATGCATGCCGCCAAGCCAAGCCCCAGACAGTACTATTCATAGGCTTTGACTGCACACGCTGGAAAGACGCGCCAATGTGTACGTTGACTTACTTCCACCACAACTGCGGTACGTGGATGTCACCCAAAGTCAAACGGCCAATGGTACCTGATAGGCGCCGTCGACTCCGGGTCGTACTCCTCCGGATCGAACTCCTCCGATCTCACCACGTGCCAGTATTGCGCATCGTCCTCGTGGTGGGGATCTTCCATCAAAGGCCTGTCTCGCAGAATCGTCAGCCAAGGGTCTCCATCTTTTCCACGGTCCGCCGCTGTTGCTGCGTCGGAGCGTTGTCTGCGCTGCTTGATGGTGATGTGCGAACAGTAGAAATTCCTGAAGACGAGGGCGTCCAACCTCCGCGCAGGTTTTCTCTGCGACACATTACCCGACAAGGTTGTCGTTCCAGCAGGCAGACTTAAGGAACAACCTGAGACTCGAAAGCTCTAGACTAGCCACATGGCGGTTGCCGGGGTCAGCAAACTTATACTTCCTTCAATGTAGACTAATTATGCCGAGGTGTGAGATACCGAGAGGATGCATCACGGATGGAAACGCCGAAGATCCGACCTCGGTACGAACGTGTAGTCTACACCGACACACGTACCGGTGACTTGCTCTCCAGGAATGACACCTCGAAATATGTTGGGCACGGCGTGGTTTGTCGGGTTCGCACCAAGGGACCGATAAATGCTGGGATGGGATAGGGATTTGCCCCCCTCACCGCTGCTGTTGCGCTCGATTCCATCTGGTAGAATGGTAGAATTATTCAAAGTGTAGACCTCCCTCTCCGACCATTGTTAATGTACCGTCGAAAGAAGGATTGTGTGGCCCAAGAGGATACAACGAACACCAAACACCCTGCCCAACGTTGGCGTATGTGGCGAAACTACCCGCGCCGGTGGTACGGTGATCCTCCGCGTTTCGTTTCGGGAACGAAAGGTCCGTAGTAAAATCCCGCCGCATTTGTCACTACGCACCACGACAACGCCACAAACCCCACGCGCTCTCTCGTTCTATGCGTTGATGGTACAGGGTCTTATTGAGTCGTTCATTCTCTGGGCCATCTTCCTTGAAGATTTCCCTACGTAGACGGGAATCGCACCCGAAGTCATACACCATGAATCAAAACATCGAAGAACTTGGCTCGTCGGAGGAGTCGTGGGATGCCATCGACAACTGGACTGAGTTTTGCAAACAGGAGAAAGGCGAGCTGCCGAAGGTATGGAGAAGCCGAGCAACAAGAGGCACGTCCACACTAGTCGCCTCGAATATCTGCTTGTTGGTAATTCAGTGGTGACTCTCTGGTATGCATAAATGGCGAAGAATTTATCGACCTCAGCGGCTTGACTCTTTACGACGGCTGTTGGACTGACCCAAGACGACTGAGTCTTGAACTTGGAGAATACTATTATTCACAATAATAAAAGCTCTTTGTTTGTGGTACTTTGGATATGTGTCCGATCTACATGCGCTGTATGCGCCTGATGGGGGTTGCGTGGATGGGTATGAAGTAAATGGGGGGTAAGAGAAGACCCCTGGTGCTAGAGAGAGAAGGAGCCCACGAGCTCACTTGCCTGAGGGGCTTGCGTAACCGATAGATAATGGTCCTTTTTCATCTGTTGTTCCTGGGATAACATAGCACCCAGTCTTAACACCACAGACCGCTGAGGGCGGCAGTGCCACAAACACTCTTCCCTTTGACAAGGGTCCGTTTTATGTTTGGTTTCTTGCTTGTTCTTGATCCTATACATAATTTTGCAGTAAAAGCAGGTCCAGAGTGAGTACTCGTTGTACAAGCAACTGTTTTGGTGTACATGTACAGTAACAGTACTGTTGTTTTTCTGCTTGAAGTGAGTGTGGTGAACGTATTCTCTCTAGCCGGATCCTTGCTTGTTTCTTGCGCTCAACTTTGTCACGTAAAAAGAGGGCCGACAACTCGAAGAAGAGCTTCGTCTACCTTTCTTTGTTGTTTATTGTGCCTCTCGAGTAGACATGAAGTGTGCTTGTCGGAAATGGCTGAGAATGATATGCCATGACAGGAAGTTAAACAACCAATGACGGAAATATACCCCCTTCGTGATGACACCACAGTCGAAGAATATTTGTTAAGCCCCCTTTAGAGCCAACGACAACGAACAACTATGTTGCCATCGTTCTTATCGAGGAGTCCTTCTAACTGGAGCTACATGGTTTTTGCAGAACCCTTTTTTCTCGCGCCTTTGGAGTGTTTCGCCACAAGCTTCTTCATCGAAGAATCACGCACGCAGTCCAGTACATACAGCCTTACATCCGTATCGTGATGAAATGTGCGTGTTGCAGTTTCAGCTACTACGGCGGCGAGCGCTGGCGGCCGCAAAGCTACGGATGCTCATCCACAAGCTCGATTACGAGTTTGATCGCGCCATTCTTCAGGTGAACGTGTCACGGCAGTGGTAGGGGTGCTTACGCGGCGTGTCGTAGGCGCAGATTATACGTTGCAATAGTTCTGCCGCGTCAACTTGCCGTAGGACGACTGCAAATGATTAAATTATGTCTATATGTCGCTAGCACAGTACTAGCGCGAAACTTCAATGTAACGCTGAGCTACGTGAAAGTTTTTATCTACCACGCTCGCAAACCATAAACTTCGGCAGTAGCCAAACACAGCGAGGTACACGATTTGGTACGGGGAAGCTGCGAACACGTAAGCCGGATTTGGAGTTGTTCGTCTTGAGTGCACCCTCCATATCAAAATTTGTGAAGCATGCTCCTTTTCCAACTTGATCACAAAGCAAACGCGATGCCCGTACCTAGCACACCCAAAAACTTCCCCTTCCCGACGCACTCAGTTAGGCGAGGAGGACATGGAAGGATACATCGCAGGGGGTGGAGAAGACGCTTGGACGGGATACCTTTCCACAGCCAGGCAAGTTCTAAAAAATATTAAAACATGAAGTTGTATTTCCCCGCTTCTTTTCTCCAGATAAGCTCGTTTTGTCATTGTTATGAAGGCAACGATGTTGATGTACGATCTCGGGACTAGACACAATTTTGACAAACACGGCTGCTGAGTCTTACGATCTAATCTACAAGCTGTAGGCGCTTTGGAAAACTTGTGGTGCTGACTCTTACGATCTAATCTATAAGCTGTAGGCGCTTTGGAAAACTTGTGGCTGGCAGCTATGTATCCATTGAGGTACTGTGTCGCGACGAGTCGATTTTTTTCCCACGCGGTAGAGCTATTCGAACGTCGTAGAATACCACGCTTGGATGTCCCGTTAGCTGAAAAACATGCCACTAGCTGGCTTTAGCTTCATTGTTAATAATCGGGGATTCCTCGTGCTCCCTCTGGAGACGATAGAGCAGACGCACTTGAACTTGGAATCGATAGTACCCAGGCCAACGTTGCAAGCCTGGAACAAAAATCGTTCGTCTTCGAAACTGCCACAGGAAGCTTGGCAAGAAGGTGCCAAAGAAAGACAGAGAGGATGCCAAGCTAACGAATGCAACCGCACGTGTCCAGCACATGGAGAGGAGCAGGGTTAGTTCTTCTGTATCATGTGGTGCATTTGAAGAGGAGTGTACGACAATGTCAAGCGGATCCAACTTCCAGACCAAGTTCGTCAAGTCGGATTTGGTGTCAATTGCTAGCTAGAACAGATTGTGACATCTGTCACGGGTCGAGCCTCTCGTTCTTCGTTGTACAATGAACAGTTTTCGTGAAATATGCCAACCCCTTGCAAACAGGAAAATAATATCGTGCTAAAGTAGCCGCGAGGCGACCCAGACTAACTCCCGCCGTGTCTTCTATAGAGAGGGCTTTGGTCAACAAGAAGCCAGTGGGCTCCACCGCCTGATTCGCAGAGGTGCTACGTGGCGAAATGGCCGTCGCTTATGCTTCCCTTGATTTTCAGGAGATGGTATCGGTTTTCAACAGCATTGTTTATGCCCACGACAAGCAGCTCAAAGGCGCCGTTCTCACCCTGACAAAGCAGCAGATGGACCGAATCGTACGACGCAACCACGAGAAGTTCAGGCGAGGTCGTTGCCCGAGTTCCAAGAGTAAACGTGGTGATTCTGGTTCTTCACAGCAATACCGCGAAGGTCCCGCCCCTGTGCTATGGTTGTTGGAAGATGGTTGGTTATCGGAAATGACGATGCCGCGGAAGTACCGCCAACTTCTCACGCACAGGGAAATATTTTCCCGATCGTACGTAGTGAGAACGAAAGTGATGCCCAGTGTTGACGAGTACTCGTGAATGCTGACTTTCCACGATATCCCAGTAAAACGTTGCAAAGGAAGCGGGTTGGCTCCCCGTCTATGAGTACGTACATGGAGGTTGGCGCTTCGGCGCGAATGAGATGGGGTCGGGAAAAGCATTGCAATACCGCATTTAGCTCTGTTGCGCCCGATCATTGGGGTTGCCTCTTTCGCGCTATCGGCCGAATGCTGGATTGTCTCTAATTCGATCTCGAACGATGCTCACTGCCTGACAATGCCAGCGGAACTCACAAACAGCGAGAACACGGCAAGGGGGATAGATCCAGCAAGCAGCCACCACCGAAAAGCCTGGATCACGCCTTTGTGACGCCGAGAGTAAAAAGTGCGGCAAAAAGTAGACAGGCCGTCTCGCTCTTGAATCGAATCGTCGGTGAAAAGGACACTCTCCTCAAGGACGCCATTCAAGGAATGGAACGCAAGGACAAAGCCCTGCTGACAAGCAAAAACAACGACTTTCTCAAATTTGTGAGTTCTGCAATGTGATCAGCGCGTTGTTCATTGATGCGGTATGCTGAAAATAATGATGTTTATGGGATCACTGCGCGAATGCCATATTTAGTAGGCGCACGAGTCGTTAGCGAATACCCTCCTCATTTGGACACGTTAGTACCAGGCCAACCAAAGACTTCCGGACGACTACACCCGAGGCTGGGCGCAGCGATGGAAGCATCGCATGGCATCATTGGCACCCGTAGATGAACATCAGGTTTTGGATATCACCTCACACGGCATGTTCCACAAGAGAACAGAGCCTGTGCGTGGCGGGGTGAATCATGTGGACGATAGTGTGGCAAGCTATTTCTGATGCTCTGAAAATGTGGACCTCCTTTCCTCGTTCTCGTTCGTCGAATGTATGGCAGGAGGCACAGCGAGCAAAGCAGCGGGAAGAGTTTCGACAGACCAAGAACAGTAGAACGGTCGCTGAACACCCACATGCGACAAAGAGGATTAGACAGGTTGGTGTGTGGTAAAGGTCGTGTGGGCAGCCAAGATTCTGGTTTATGGGATGGTATTTTTCCCAGCTCACGAACAATTTATTACCAGACCCTTTGGGATCCGTTCCCCGGGGTAAACCCGTTCGGGAAACCGTATCTAATAAACCGCAAGGTATTTGTTGAATATATTCAACGTTTATTTGAGGCTATCGTTTCTGAAGCTGACGTTGCTGGGTGGTCCTAGCAAACGTCCGTCACAAGTTTCATGCCTCCGTATTCCCATGTGTTAGTGGCTAAGGCAGTGACACCGCTCTCTACCGCTTCATCGTCAACATTTTTTTTCACCACGAGCAGGAAGCCAGGGCAAAGGCGACTTTGGAGGAGTTGAAGGAACGCGGGCAGAAAAGAAGGAAGGCATTGACAACCTCTGTCAAGTGCATCCCGAAGTCTCAACGAGATAGCTTCGTCCGAAAAGTGATTTCCAGATGTTATCGACGGAAGCAGGCATCAGCGCTGCCCCTATACCTTCCAGCCGTAGTCGCAATGAGTACCGCGCGTGTTGCTGACGACGTGCATACGAGGTTCGATAGAGTGATTTTGACTTGCATGGCTTGTCTGCTATGGTGTTTTACGCGATACGTTGATCAAGCATTCGTCATAGCTGCATGTGATACGCACGTTGCAAAGAACGATGAAAGCGACACGTCACGTTTTTTCGATGATGCTATCCTCAGGTTTCTGGCGTCACCAAAGGCAGTGGCAAAGCTTGCACCGAAAACGCATTGTCGATGCCGGCTCCTAGGGCACGAAAGATACAGAAGAACCTCGATACCACGCGATACGCACGGGCAGAGGTAGGCATGTGCTATGTACTGGCCCTCTTGTAGTGCGTGACTTGCCGCGGTCTAATGGCGTGCCCCGTTGTCGCGGTGAGGACAATTGCACCGTTATAAATCACTACGCACGCCATTCGAGTGACACACGCCGCACCTGTGCCGTGCCCTTGTCGACAAACATCGTGGGCCGTGTTTTAGCGAAACGTCCTTGCATGTTCCTACCCGCATCGGCCATCCGAGTGACACACGCCATCCTTTTCTCGACCCGGAACAGGTGATGGGTTTGAGTAGACGCGTTAAGGCAGACGTTCAGCGTGCTATTCAGGTAAAAGATTATGAGCTGGGGAAAATGGTAGCCATGATGGACGAGGAAGAGCTCCGTGCGCTGGTGGACTTCGGACCTACGGGAAAGGAGGACATCAACCTCTGGAAACGAGATCGTCGAAAACGGTCATGGCGACGTCTTTCTGCCTTTGGGATGGTTCGAAATGACCCATCCCTTTACCGCCAATGGGCCCAGCAGCGATATCAACGCTTGGCATCACAAGCTGAGGTCACGAACACCGACCGTATGCTTGGGACTACCTGCGCTACCGATGCCGCGCGCCGGCCACCCTGGTCGACGGACCTCCACTACTCGCACAGATGTCGCGCACAGCAACAGCAACCCGGAATAAAGCAGCAACAACAGCGACAGCAACGCGCCTCCATTGCAGACCTGCCGGTGTCTGACGAGAGCTCGATTGCTACAGGTCTGGGGCGACTGAAGTGTGTCCACACGGCCCCTTCCTCGAGACATCCGGCACGGGCGGTCGCGAAAAATCGACCGGCCTCGGCGCCTTCGGGCGCGGTAGAAAGGGTATCACCCCGGCAAGACCAACGCGAGACCGCAAGGACCCCAAGTTTGGCGAGACTTGCAAGGGTTTTCTACCAGTCGACCGTGGCGTCTACCGCTTCTACGCTTGGGGAATGTTCGAGTCGGCAGCAGCCTTCAAGTATTGAGTACCTTTCAGGAGAAATACCAGACCCCGCTGAAAGCGTGTGTTTCCAAGTTTCCTCTCAGCCGGAAGCACACGAAGGCGAGGCGAGCAAGGACGACAGCCATGCTCAAACGACGACTAGCGTAGTGCACGGAGAACGGAACGGTGACACGATTCGTTCATCAGCGCTGGACGGTGTTGAGAAGCGCATGGAGAGCGTGCGCTTGCTGTGGGCGGTATCACAGCTTTCGACCGACGCCGTAACCAAGAAAATTATGCACGGATACTCAGAGCGACAGCGAGCCAGAGAGCCCAACAGGACAAAGTGGAACACGCCGTCCCGTAGACCTCAGCCACCAGCTGGTCCCCGCAACTCCCAGGTCAACGGCCATATAAAAAAAGGGGGTTATAACGCGGGCAGGCGTGTCGTTCGCTAAGGCAAGGATATGTTTTGTGCCCTCGGGCCTACTGGACGACTGCTGTTGTAAACAGTTTGTACCATATACGCACAAGTCTCCCGACGTTAACCCGGTGATCGTTGTGAACCGGGGCGGGTTATCTCACGTCGATGCTGTCCGGATAGGTGTTGTACCGCCCGCATGCAATGCAGTTGCGCGAAAGACTAGGTTTACCTATATTTCACGAGCTTGGAGACCTGCCTACTCTGATTGGCCGGCCTGCCTGTAGGCTTCGGCACGGTCGTCGAGAACACCGATGTTGCTCCACTGTTAGTGCGGCGCGGAAGCCTTGTCCTCCTTCGAAGTACTTACGGTTGAACTGAGATCTATCGCACCTCTCGAGTGAAAGGTGATGACCCACACACACACGCACACTGCCAAAGTATTGCTGTGAAAAGGATAATGAACATCATGGTAGCGATAACAAGGAAGACAACGGTGAAAACACTCCAAAAAGATCTCGAGTGCAAGGTAATATCCTTGGTAGAGATGCGTGCAGTTTTCTTCTGTAACTACCGTTTCTGTCTTTGATCTGGCGGATAGTTTAGCCCCCCCCATGCCCCCCCCCCAGAGCCTGGTCCGGTGAGAACCCGGCGTGCTCCGTCCCGGCTTTGTAGGGATGCGAGGTCAATGGTCTAACGACTACGGCATGCACGACTATGAGTACACCCCCCCCAT